TCAACCGATCGCTTTGATGCCTGCTCACCAGGACCACCCGGTAAACAGAACACAAGGTCCCGCATAGCGTACTTGCCTGTGAAACAAAAAAAAAGATGATATAATTCGTGTTTTGTACATCAAGATAGGAATTATCTTATTGATAGGAATGTAGGCTAGGTTTCTGCTAACCCTTTACTAGACGTCAATTACATTTCGGTTTAGCTACATCTAATTGCAACTTTTGCCACCAATCATTAAGACAACCTGGTAATTGTGGAGTTGAAGAGAAAATGGTCATTAAAAAAATGTGTCATCACACACAGAAAACATTGCTTAATATAAAGCAGATATGACTGTAGAAGTTTTCAATTTGTCACTTAAATATTTGAATTACCACTGAAAGACAAGTGGGTCAGTTAAGTTCTTTACCTATCAGTTCTTTATTTCTTGGATCCAGTGAAAGATTCCGAAGTGCTTTGGATACGGCACTCACCACTCTATCATTATCCATTCGCAACAACTCCACCAACACTGGCAGACCTTTATCTTTACGAACACTAGCACGAATATATATCGCCCACTGAGACAAAAAATAACAAACACGTATTATAATACAAGCCATGCATGGCAAAGTCCCTGTTAGTTATCAAATTTAAGATATATAGTTTTGTTTATAGTAATATAGCTGGAATATAAACATGTCAGGAATATGATTATGATGATTGTTTAACATTTAAATGATTGACATTTGTATCAGATCGTCAAACGAGTATTGAGAGATATTGCTCTGGAAAAGAATTAATTAAAACAAAATCAGCCATTTTGAGTACATCTATAATGAATATATAAAATTTGAACATAGTCAGTCAAAGCATGTCAGAGATAAGGCTCTAGAAGCCCATTCATTAAAACAAAATGGCCACTAGTCAGCTTTTCTGAACCCGATCTAAAAAATAAAATAACCTGCATCAGGACTAGTTATGTCTAATGTATGTACATGTACCAAGTTTGGAAAAAATCCATCCATAAATGCCAGAAATGCGTGATATTTAATGATTTTTTCGCACATACGAAAGCACGGACGCACCGAGGTCAAAACACAAGTCCCCGTGTTCGGACTGCAGCCAAACGGGGACTAATAATGACAATGAACCTGTATTCAGCATCAGTCTAAATGGACTTCAATAGTGGAATCACAAGATAACAGAATAAACTTACCCTCCATTCTGAAGCTGTCAAGTTCTGGACGGTTCCAGCAGCCGCTTCCAGAGTATCAGGATTAGAACATTCTGCTAACAAAGATAAGTAGGGTCTGCACACTTCAGGTTGCCATAACAACTCCATACCAGCAGCAGGGTTTTGCCTTGGTGGCGGGTTTGGATCAAGTTGCATTTTGCTGTGGAATTAGAGGATGAGTTATATTGTAAGTATACAAAAATTCTCTTCAAAACTGTAAAATATTTTATTCGCTTGGATTTAATTTTCGCTATTTTCGCTGAAGTAATGATTCAGTGAAAATAAAATCCATCGAATATATTTTACATGTATTTTACATTTAACTTATCAAAAATCAGTGAAAATAAACTCTATACAAAACATGTCTTTTCAGCGAAAATTAATTCCAGCTAAAATAAAGTATTCTACAGTATAGTAGTTAAAGAGTTATCAGCTTTTTGGAGGCTGATTTTTAATCTATGTAAAACTGACAAATGAAAAGGAATGTATCGTTGAAACCATAATAAGCCATAGGTGTTGACTGACATTCCATCATTGATTTAGAACGCAGTCACTGATTGGTTAATCTCCGTCTGAGTGGAAAACGCTGTAATGTTCTATTTCACTTTTAAAAGTTAAACGGTAGTTGTGTTCCAGTTTTTAGTTAGTGCTCAACTGTGGGTCAGTTCTACAAGTTTATGTATTTATCAGTTCGTTGAAAAGTTTCGTTCGCAAGTAAATGCAGTTGCTTTTATCAATTGATTCGTGAGAGTTCAAGTTTCGCTGAAATCCTACTCAAGTTGGAATGTGGCCAACCGAACCCGACCACAGAATGCACAAACTAGTAAAATAATGGTCACATGACCTGAATTTACACCAATAGCAAGTAGATACAAGAAAATCTAACACGCTAACAATGATGACCAATTTCCCTTCATCTTAAAGATTCAATTCAAAGACATTGAAAGTCTGAGTTTAACAATTAATGATAAGATTTGAATCATTTATTCATAAGTTGAAAGAGTCAAGAAAAAACGCAATGCATGTTATGGTGATGTAAGTGAATGGTGAAACATACTTTAACTGTTGGTCCTTTTTCTTCTTGTCACTACCACCACCAAAACATCCTGTATCATTAGGTTTGTTTTTTGATGGTTTATTAGCTTGTCCTTGCATTTCATTGTCAGGATGGCGTACTTCCGCAGGCATATGATACGAAAGATTTCTTAAAATACACATACAATTCTCAACACACTGAAAGCAAAGTAAAAATTGATAATCAGCGAGGCAAATAAATTCCCATTTTGCAAATAGGTAAAACATCACTCCAAGAATGAGCTAAAAACACAATTTTAAATCAATACTGTTTTAGCTAATATACTAAAAAATCGATAATCTACTACACTTTCCCGCCCATTTTATTTTGAAAGTACTGGAGGGTTTTATTCCGTGGACAAACACATCCACAAAATTCATTTACCTTCAAGGACAGACAAAGCCTAACTTAGTGTGTGGACCTTTTTTATTCTTGTTCTACCGTTACCGTTTCTCATCCACAATCCCAACATTTGACAGTGTATATATGTTGGTTGGGGGAAGGTAGTATACAAATTTAGGATGATGGTTTTAGTGTTTAAAGATGCTTACAAATGCAATGTATAGTGTTATATGGGTTAAGCTTGCAAGAACCTCTAAATAGGGATGAAGGTCTCATGCCACTAATCAACCAATGACCGTTCATAGCCCTCAATTGAAATGCCTTGCAAGAACCAAGGACATTTTTTTAAATATTTTTTTTCTCAGGTGCGCCCTGTTTGAGGGCGTGTATCACTTGGGTCAAAGGTGAGACTAACATGTGGTCTTTTGTTTACGACTTAGTGGCTGTGTACCTGTGGGTTTATTCTGTGTGTATTTAGATGTTCTAATCTTGGTGTTTTTGGCTTGTTGATTTCCCATTTTTGAGCCATGTTTTCAACTTTGTTCATGATTTTCATATAGCAATCTCGTCATATGTTAACATTGTTGCCTATGGAGATTCAATTAGTGGTACGAGATCTGAATAAAAATAGACCTATAGCATGGTGCAGCGCCCCCTATGGCCATGGTGTGAAAGTAAGATTGACATAGAGGGCCTCCTCAAATACCAGTCCCTGAGTTACTTGTTGATAATGATTTAAATTATACTGAAATCTGGACTGTAATATGAGCATAAATGTTACAATCTCAGAAACACACCCCTAATAATTCACTATGACGACAAACGGCCCGAAATCTTATCTGAGATTTAAATACATCAGCACTATAAGACCACTTTTCCGGAAGTAGCAAAACTGGGGTGCAAAAATACTCCTGCTTTGTCATGGCGGAAAATACAAACATGTCAGTTTACTAATAGTCGATAGAAAAGAATTTTATTTATGTTACTTCAATTGGTACACCCAGAAGCACAATATCACGCGTGCAAGTTTACGTTACACTCCAATTGTCGAAGATACAGCTTTTCGCATAAACACGCATGCGAAAATCCGCATCTTCGACTTCCGGAAAAGTAGTCTATATAGTGCAAAGGTCATATTTGGTTTTCTTCAACCAATCCCAGTGAAGGAGTAAATAAGTAATAAATAATAAACTTTATTAATCAGAGAGGACCTGATGCATTACAATCTTCCTACAGGGGGCTATTCAAACAGTTTTCAGTAGCAGTTAAACCCTAATATTTATGATAATCATCAACTGTCTAATTTTTCAAACATAAATTTGCTAAAGATGTAATGTGATAACCCTGTGTACTTGCCCTGTATTAAGTGTCATGTCAGAGTAAAAGATCAGGCACAACAAATCGTATTATATACAGGTCATGCCAGGTTAATCAGATATAATCTACCAAGATTGAAAACTTCAGCAGTAATTATGAAGTCATATTGCATCAATGTTATAATATTTCACATCACTAAATACCGTAAACCTCATTAATTTGTGAGTTGAATACTTGTTACAGCCAATCTGAGAATTATTCAGTCAGTTGGTTTACATGACTTGCAACTGTTTATCACCTTATGAAATAGTAAAATGTTTAGACATAACCCAAGCAGTTAGCCAGTTCACTAGCGAGTTTGCAAATTGGTAGCCCCAATACTTCGGAGACTTACTGTAAAACACTGTTTTTTATCAAATGTTGTATTGACATGCGCACAGTTCAGGCATAGACCCTCCAGATCCTCCAGACCCTCCTCCCTCTACTGGAGGGTCTATGGTTTAGGTCATTCCATTTTCATGCTATACGAGGGGCAGTTTTTCAAAATGAAACATGTTCATTAAAATATATGGACAAATTATTTTGAAGTGTTTCCTAAATCACACACAGTGTAGATAAACTAGAAATGAAGAATTATTATTGAAAATGTACAGAAAGTTTGCAAATCATCATGTTGATCACCTTATGAAATAGTAAATCAAACACAGTACGCCATCTGTCAAGCAAAGACACCAAGTTTAGAACAAGCAACTGCCAAAATGCTTTGCAAAATTGCGAACAATCTTGCTAACCAACTGTACGAAAAATTCACAGAATGGCTGTAATAGAGGAAAAACCATGCAATTGTGTAGCAAAGGAAATTTCATTTTGGATAAATGAAATAGCGAGTTGCAGAAATTTTTGCGAAACTTCATCCTCGTGAATGCCCTCAAGTTGTAAAAATGCAAAAATTAATACCATAGTGGCGAAAATAAAATGGTCCACAGGATATACCAATATTAAGCTACAGTCAAACCTGTGTCAGTTCTTAAATTTCATGGAGGCATCAAAAGCAAATTTCCCCAAGTAAGCGCCGACTATTCCCCCCCGAGTATTTGTGTTCTAAGCCTTGCTTTCATGTTGATAAAATGTATTAGGGGTAATCTTATGCAATGCTTTGTTGAAGGAAACCCGATGGGAAAAGATTAGAACATAAATCAGTCAGCAATGGCTGCTGCACGATAACTTTTCCATGTTGCCCTTTGATAATGCAATTTTATTAATTGTGGCCTTGAAAATAAGGTGCCCTCTCAACTCTGAAGGGTAAGCCCTGCTGGTGTTATTGACCACCAGCCAATTGTAAACACCTTTGGGCAGTCACAATGGAATTTACATGTAATATGACCAGTATCCTGTATGTGACCAGTGACTGCTTATTTGGCAATGGTTCGTTCGGTCAAATGAACTAAAGGGCCAATATAATGGATGATGACACTAAAATTTGTACACTTGTCTCAACACTGACATTCAATTTAATCAAATAAGCATTGTTATTTATTTACACCCCATTTTCAAACATTTGACAAAAATTGACGTTGTACTAAAAAATATTTGTCATATTTATGAAATAGAAAGACCACCTGTCTAATTCCATTAAAGCGATACAGTCGCCATGCAGTGTGTAATCCAATTACATGTAAACAAACAAACATATACATATCAAACATGTTGTAGCTAAACAACTGTAGCGCTCTAAGTACGTTGGATTTAAGTGTATATGAATCAAAGTGCTACCAATAAACTTTGATGTAGCATGTTTTAAAGCGGGGGAGTCGTCACCTGTGCATGCGTCAGATGACCATAGCATGTCATTGTATACAAACAAGTGGTTACCCATGAGCCTTTGCGTTTTTAGCACATGTTATTGTCCATTGAAACTCAATTCCCGTGTGTGTGCGCGCAGGTGACAACCCTCTCGCTTTAAGAGAACATACATAATTAAGAACTTAACACAGTAATGTCTGTCCAAATATCATCTAATAAGTATTTTAATTTGTAACCAGGCAACTCCCTGTACTTAATAGCAATTCAATTCCATATTAACTTCCCAGCACTGGTATTAACCTTAACTGAAAGGTGAAGACTACCATGCTGATATCCGTGGTAACATGACTCTTATCACTTGTCAAATTATCACACACAGGGACACTAAGGTCATGCATGCACAGTTATTTAATCTGGCACACTGGATAAATAGTTGTAACAACATAGCAAATCTAGCGGGATATGGGGAATAACATTTCATGTGGGGTGAAATGAACACTATTGTTACAATCAATTTTAAAAACCACAGAATCATTTACAAATTGTGAATGTGTACAAAGTGGAATGACCTCCCGCAATTACCCAGAGAGAACTCAAACATACAAGAATTTAAAATATGAAACAAATGAATTATTTAATTTGGAGTCAAGGCAAAAATCATTAATACAGTAATCTCTATTTTCCTTTCACATCCTTATTCTGATTAATCTCGTCCTCAACTTCTGCATACTAGCAATTTTATACTTTTGAGTTGAGTTAACAAACAAAATCGATGGGGTGTGCTAGTCGGAAATGTCTGGATGCTTTAGTCGCTGGTGTGTCTGATGCATGTTAGAACGCTCGTAATTTCACGCATTTAGCAAAACGGTGTACCTTTGTAAAAGTGATTTAAATTAACCAGTTCTAATTAAGTAACGATTTTGAGACGTGCATTACAAACCAGTCAGCAACTTAGCTGGCAATGTTGCCGATTTGGTTTTCGCAACAATATGGCAGGGACAGTAAAATATAACTTATTTTGACCATAGACCAAGAATATGTGATGCTACTAATAGAGCAAATACAGTACTTCCAAACATCTTGGACTAAGACTGCAAATACTACAACCTAATCAAGGATAAAGGCATGTGAAAGCATGAACTGACCTTATTATCCATGTCATTCTTGCCAATAGCTGACCTAATTACGAATATCAAAGCATCAACTAATCCTTCACATTCTCTCATCTTGGTTCGTGCCTCAGGGCCAGCTGAACTCACGTTTCTGTAAAGCAGATAAACATGATATAATTACGTAAGTAGATATTGAGTCACTGCAAGTATGCATGGACAGTTATATTTTGCACTTCTTTGTCTTTCTGTATCAAGAAATGTATGAATCAGTACGGTGGTAAAAATTCAGAAAGCAGATTTCCCTATCAAAAAATTACTGGTACATGGTAGTTTTAAAGCAAAATGATCATTGTGGCATGTCTGGTCTGATGTGGGTTCCATGTAAAATACATTGTTTGATCACATAGAATTCATCATTGGACTTTAACAAAGTTTATGAAAGTATCCAGTACCTAAACCGATAACCTTTTTTTTCAAAATCACATGTTTGTGATGTTTGTTTTTGGCGATGGAGTTAAAAATACTGTCGTTGTCAACACTGTACATATTATTGGCAGGCAAGATACAAATGTATGGTTGTCAGACTACAAGGTCAAATTAAAAAATTAAAAGTTTCTGGTCAACTTTATTTTATGAGATCGATAGTGGTGTGTATTTCAAATTTAAGAGGAAAAACTAATTTCATAAAGATTGAGTTTGCCTTTTCAAAAATTCTGACAAAAGTAAGGAATAAGAATGATACACATATGATGACCGGAATCTGAATACTGTAAAATGACTAATTTTCACTGGGTTTAAATTTCACTGATTTACCATTGCAGACATATTCAGTGGGTTTTAAAATTCACAGTTTTATCATTTAAATAATGTGTTCTATGCTAAATTTTACATATTCACTGGGTTTTAATTTAGCGCAATTTCCAGTCAGCGAAATAAGCAAAATTCAAACCAAGTGTATAATTAACCCCTTTACAATAACTGGTTTTAATGTAATATATTGACAAAATCAGTTACCTAAGGCATCCTGTGGTATTACGGAATACAGTCGATAATGGTACATCTCTCGGTTTAGTGTCTTCATCTACATTCCTATCCCATCCAGAATGTGGAATGATGACAACGTTGGTCATCACCGCCAGACCATCGTCAATAATCGGCTTCTTTAATGGCTGTAACATTGAGATATAACAATATGACAACTTTATTCTGGCCTAAAACAAACTTCAATCACAGCTAAATTAACGAGTTAAATGTAAAATATAGGAAAAATACAATATTAGATTGATGCTATTTTAACTGAATCATTTCTTCAGCGAAAATATCGAAAATAACTTCCAAGCGAAAATAAAGTATTTTACGGTACATTTGTTATGCAGGTTGGCAAAAATGTACACACAAGACGTCACAGTGCAACGACCTATAACCCTCATCTCACAAATCTTTATTGAACCCATACCTCTGCAGAAGACAGATTCCAGAGGACACCAGTAACAAGTTCCCTTACGTCGACATCTGGCGTTGATCGCAGTAGCCTAATTAATGCCGGGATACCACCAGCGTTCTTGATGGCTACTTTGTTTTCTTCATTCTGTTTACCGTATGAAATGTTTCGCAGAGCACCGCAGGCACTGCGCTGAATTTCAGGTGTTGGGTGTCCAAGAAGCTCCACCAGTGGGGGAATACCACCAAGACCCCTGGAAGTATGAACACACGATGTAATATTTCAAGAAACTATGCTCTTGACATTCAACGTGGTAATTCACAAGCAGTGGTACTTTTGAACTTCCTGGGCAAATACATTTGTACTAAAGATGTACATTAACAATAATTCTGGATAACAAATTCAGGACCAAGAATCTAATATTCAAAGAAAATGGCAACATTCGTTATGACTGGATCATAGGTACAATGGGTGGATCGTTTGAAATGATTAAAATATTTGTCACAACATGTATAGTCTAAAGTTGTATGAATTTGACCATATGAAATCCATTGTACCGTAGATGGCATTTTGAAAATTGTCAAACCCTCAAATATTAAGCATTGTCCCCATGATTATAATGGTTCGATCCAAGATGGTTGACTATGCGAGTGACATACCTGGTTTTATTTTTGATAGGATCATCTCCATAGGTTAAATGCTGTAGATAAGACGCTGCATTGGACACAATTGCATCATTTGGATGACTTAAATATTCGATAACCTCCTGTAAATCGGGAGCACGCCACCTCTGATCTGCAAAATAGTGAGAGAGAAAAACACTGTAAACGAACACAGCTACACGGCTAGTCAGAAATGCTCTACAGAGTGATAATAGTATGAAATTATAGATTAATTCTGCTCCAGCATAACTATAATGAATACCTCTGGGCCTTCTATCAAGGGTGGATGGTCTGGAATCTGGCAGAGAAGATCTGGAATTTCTACTGCCTGGCGGATCATCTTGCTCTGGCCCTGGGGCCTGCTGTCTTTCCTCTGGTGCTGACATAACTATTAGTAAACATTGAGAAGAAGAAAGGATACAAAGGCAAGAAAGTAAAGACAGTGAAGAAGAAAGAAATAACAGGCTACAGAATTCAAAGCCATTTATAACCCAATCACAGACAAGTTTCTCATAAAAATGTTGGTATTGATATTTTCTTTCAATTTTCAAAATTGTTATTTTTATTTTGCAGATATTTGTTACCTTGACCAGAAACACATTTTCTTTCTGGGCCTGCTCTACCTATGTGGATATTGTAATACAACAATTATCGTAAATTTTGAACAGCTTTTTGAACAGGAGTGATGTAAACCGATTTAATTTTATTTTGCAAGTACAAAGAAATCATAGAATATTGTAAGCAGTGTACGTTCCACTGGGATTTTCAAGACAGGGTTGTCAGTGGTTTTCAAAAAAGTTGTCTCCATAAACACATTTAAATCCTGCATTTATCGCAATGTAAAGTTACAGTATTTTGCGAGCAGCCAACAATGGCAGTGAAAGGGTTGAAATTCTCAGAATTCAGAAGAAGAGTACCGGGAAAATTCTAGTTTCAGACGAAGATTGGTGCATGGGAATGGAGGGGTAAAGAAAGAAGTGCTAAAGAATGGGGAGGACAACTTTTAAACTGTTTTGTCTCACAGAATGTGAGCTAGAGATTCGTCACAGAGACCACAGAATTCTTACCATATGGATCATGTACTGGTGGCGGCCTTCTAAGTTGATCTGTACTCCCAGTTGTTTCCATTGGAGCTAGTGGAGCCCTTTGCATTGGTGGTGTTTCACCCATAGGTTGGGTATACCTCTGTTGATATGGTTCTGGAGGTTCATTATAGCGACTACTGCCAACCGATGGTGCTCCTGTAATCACAATTATAGCGTGTTATCATGAGAAAGTAAAGTACATCCCTTAATCATTATTTTCTCTATTAACGGTAAAAAGATTGATTTGTGAAAGCTGTTAAAAAAGTTAAGAGCGGATTTCAAATTTTGCACTACTGAGCAGGTTACTGCACATATACGCAATGTATTATTTCTCACAGCATTCTAATAAAGGAAGCATTTATCATACTGAAAACTGACTACCAGTAAATTATGTCAATTTTTTGAAATATGTCAGGACTATTGGGATTTCTATCAATACCGAGTAATACTAGTCTTTGTCATGATCTATGTCACCGAGCAAAACTTTGAGAGATATGAAAAAATAATCTCACCATAGAAACCAGTGTATAGATGAAAATTTTGACCTGTTTCCATGACATTTTGTCTTAGTGTCATAGGTTTGTAATATTGTCATAAAAATTTTGTTTATTTGTGAAAATAATTTTCTTTTCTAACAAAAAGCTGTGAGGCACATTTTTAAGTAAGATTAATATTCTTTTCCTGGGCACTTAATAAGTTGTATAGTCAGAATTTATTACAGATCATTTTACAAAATTTCACTAATAGAGCAGATATGATCAAAGTAAATGATTTCCTTTGCCAGAGACATCTCATGGTGAGCCCCAGACATAGCTAAGAACTGACAGATGTACAAAATGACTAATTAATGACACTAGTGGGTGCAGTTTATAAGGATGTATCATTACTACCGACTCAGAAAAATTGCAATGATATCAAATATAAATTTAGCCAGAAAACCACACTACACATGATTACTACAGGATGGGCAATTGCGATGCTGAACTGACATAGAAAACTACGTTTTTGATTATCATCAAATCTAATGACCATTTTTTGGGATAATTATTAACAAATGAAATAAATTTACTGGTAGTTCTTATATGCACCACTTCTAATAAAACAACTCAGTAAGACCCGGAAATTTACAAATTACCAATTTATGAAACATTGGATTTACTTTCAATATTTCCAAATAGGCTGCCAGTATGTAGAATCCGGTTATTACGTGTAAAAACTATCTTTCCTAAAAATGCAGTACACGCAGAATTGACCTATCCAGGCTGTAAAGCTAGGATTGGCAATCCAGGAATAATGTCAACTTTTGCCATAGAGGGCATACTTCTATATTATTGTACAAATTGATCAGAAACATTTTGCAGCGTGTCATCTGTAGTTAATGAGTAATTTTATTATGCAGTCAGTAGGTTAAAATGAATGAAATCAATTGATAAATTTGCGAAGAATGCGACTAACAACTATATTTTAGTCAGGACATGCATTTTAATTTTGTTGTTACGGCAGTGTAAAAGAGCAGGATAGAAAGTCAGCCACCAACTTCTTTCAACGCAAACACGTGTTGCAAATCTGGGAGTCTAAAAAAATGTGATTCATCAACAAAACGTTGATATATTTGAGCAATGCCAAAAAAAATAAAAACACCAAGGACAGTGAGATTTAGGATAACAAAATCTATTCCAGCCACCATTACTACATCTAAACTTACTGTAACGATCATCTGGGGGCTGTCCGTAATCATCTTGTGGTTGGGAACCATATCTATCCCGACTAGGGATAGTATCAAACCTATCACTACCTGGGGGAGAGGGGTCTCGGTAATGCTCGTCAGGGTAACCATAGCGGTCACTCCCTTTGGGAGAAGCTGGTGGCTGATCATGCAAATAGCCGCTACCATGAGGAGATCGTGAAGGAGGTGCTCCATAGCCATATCCAGCTGAGCGCGGAGGTTCATCATAGTCTTGATTACCCAAGTTTGGAGGGTTGCGGTAGTCTGGCTGATCATCGTCAAAGTTTCTCATGTCTTCGTAGGGTTGGTAGTTATCCGGCTGTGGTGGACGTGCTGGACTGGCCGGCGTGTGTGGTGAGTAAGGATAGCTGTCTGTACTTCGTGGGATCGATCCGGTCGATCCTGGATGGTTTTGTCTTGTCCTTGGAACAGAGGAATACTGGGAAAAAACAAAAATACATTTTAAGGCTTTGATTCATTCTTATGGATAACGGAAGACCCTTTAATAACTCAACAATTAGTGCCATTAATGGTAAGACATTATAAAAATTTATCTTGGTACAAACACCACTAAACATTTCCAAATCATTTTGACTCATTCGCAGTAACATTGCGGACAGTATGGTAATATTATACTACTTAAAAATAAAAAGTTATTAAAAATAATTTTTAAAAATTGACTGCTAATATTTAAATAGCATTTGAGTTAAGCATAAAAGCATAGCAACGATGCAAGTATGATTAGTACAAAATGTTTGCTTGATTTATGTTAAATGAAAGATTATAAATCACATGATCATGATGTATATATGTTCAGTTTAATAACTATATGGTACAATAAATAACAATATTTATCAAACATTTCATGCGGGTTTGAAACAGAACAGGCAAATAATTTGTTTTCACAGCTATAACAATTTCATTGACATTCTATTTCAAAAACATCCAGAGTTTCTTTTGAAAAAACATTAAACCGTCATCTCCTCCTCCTCCTTCTCCTCTCCAATACTGACCCCGCTTAGATGTCATGTCTGAACATAGATTAGAATAGATGCAAAAAATTATTTTTTTGGAAACGGAAGTTGTAATAAAAAGATCAATCATTATCACTTATTTTGATCATCTTGGTTTATGCAACCCATGGTGTAGCTCCTATCAGCAGGTTTGCAGACCAAGTGACAATATCAATATTTTGACTCAGTAAGTTGTTTTGGAAGCAAGTTGTATAAAAACAGTAATACGGTATATAACCACAATTATAACAACGTTGTTTTGATACTGAATCATACATTGACCAATCGGAAATGATTTTTTTTTAATATTTGTAATAAGTAGGTTTATTTTGACTACAAGAGTGATTTCTTTTTGAACCAACACTTCAAAGTTAAAGACTTGTTTTCTACAAGTTTGCCAAAAATATATAAATAAATCTGAAAACCTGTATCTCTGAGGTAATCCAAACAGAAATCAAAATTTACTGTACATCAGATTTTTTTTTACATCTACTGAAACTTTGTAGAAACCAGATATATATTATACTGTGCTATCTGGAACGTTTAAACACAAGTAAACAAAGTATTTTCTGCACAAAATGTCATATGTGTTTCAGGGCAATATCTTGTGGACGAGGTCAGAGGATGGGGTCTATTGCTCTTGATTTTTCATTTCATCGAGTACAATAAACAACCTTCAGAATAGATACACTCAGAGTTGTATATCATATGCATGTACTGTAAACCCTGAATGGAACATGGGTGAATGTCTGATGTACCATTTCTATTTATGGTTCAATAGTATCAACCAGAAAACCTTACAACCCAATGAAATGACAATGTTATTATCCCATTGTAAATTGACAAGCGCATGTTGATGTCAAATGGACCAATGAACAGTGACGGTGAAATGTATGCGACTGCAGAGGGTGGGTGGAGAGAGTTTCCAACCTGTTGGCCAGCTGACCGAACAGAACCACTGTATGCAGGAGAAGAAGGCCGGTCACTCATGGATGCATTCTCATCGACAAAGTCAAAAGTGTCAGCATGGGTTGGAGAATAGGGTCCAGGTGAATACTGCTATACAACAAGAACATGTGTATTTTCATCATACGCAGCAAAAATAAAAACATGCAGAAACGAAAACTTAATTAATACGCATGCAACATAGCTATCGTAAATAAAAGCAAGGACAAGTTTAGGTACATAATCACGTAACGGGACTCACTGATTAATAAGCCAACATGCGTTTTAGAGTTACAATTTTGAGTTTAATATTTTTAAACATAATTCTGTTTAAGCGCAATCGCTGCACAGCAAACTGTCGCATAAATAATCACTTGAAGGAGCAGAAAAGCTACAAAGCTATATCTCTATTGATAATGCATAGCGCAGGAAATATCAGTAACCCAGGGCAATCGTAATGAGAAACCAATTTCCTATATGCCTGTCTCACCAACTTAACTTCTATTAAATTCTTAAATATCTTCCAAATGTATACAGAGTTTCTTGCAGCAGTACGAATAATAAGATCTACTCTTAAATGGCGTCAGAATACAGAATTTTATTTTTGACTTTCCATCTGTCTGTATCAGCCAATGATGTGACAACCATCAGCAATAACATTCAACATAAAATCTGTATGTGACCTACCGGTAATATAAAATGAATCGCAATTCAGTTTCTAATTAATTATTCATAATCGTTATTCATAATATACATATCGTATCTTAGCTTTCCGATAGCCATCATAAAATTATTGGCAATGTGTGTCTCTGATTTGTCAATCATGTTTCGAGAATACAGATAAGAGCCAAAATCCCAGTAGTAGTAGCAATACACGTGGGGTAAATCGGGTGCACATATGGGAAGGTTGGAGATTTGAACAGGTCAGTCTAGAGTAAAAATGACGTCAATGCACTTAGAATGAAGGAAAAGTTGTCTACAGATTCTCAAGGCAGTAGCATTTACCACATTGATAAATGTATTGATGTGATTCTGTACTGCCCGAGTGTAAACTTTCCAGTATCCTTATGATCACCTTATGATACATCTTTCTTCCTTGTAATAATAATTTAACGAGATAACAGCCCAAAATGAAAACAATGTCTTGCTCTTTGCAATTGTTTTATTTATGAACAAATATGAGAAAAGGCACACATGTAGTACCTATATGTATACCCCCGGTAATATCAAAACAATCGGACATGCGGTTTTCAACAAGAAAATATCACTTTTTACCAAAAATGACAAAAATATTCATCAAAATTAGAGAACTAACAAATCAAAGAGAGGTATGCCCAAGGTACATATACACTAAGTATCAAAGCAATAAGGCTTGTAGTTTTCAAAAAGAAGTTGAAAAAAGTAAAAAGTTGATGCAGACGCCGACAGACTCGTATGATAAGCTGTGCTCAACAAAGTCGACAGCGGAGCTAAAAATTGAATACATTTCGCACGAGTGCAAACGCGTTAAAATACAAAATTCTATTATTTTTGTCACTAGATGTATAATAATTGCCTTTACCTGTGATCTAGGATCTGGCTTTGGTGCAACCTGGGGTGGATTAGACCGATTACTGTGTATGGATAAATACGACGAATGCGGAGAATGATGATTGGCTGTAGGTCCGTTTGTTGCTGGAGACGTAGCGTAGCCTCGGTAACCTCGGTGAGATGGATCTACAATCAAACACAAGACGCACATGGTAAGTCTCACAATATAAAAGTATTACATACTATTTAATTAACACTTTACCACTAATTAATTAAAAGATTCCCTCCTGAAATTATTTCTTGTACTTCACAATCAAAGCACTGTAAAACCACTTCATTTTCATCAGGTCAGATGAAAACGCGAAATTTTACAGATTTAGACATTTCATTAGGATCTTTTAAGATTGCATGTCGCAGTGAACTTTTCATTGGAATTTTTAAGATGGCACGTCACAGTGACTATTACGCAAAACGATGTCTATATGAATGCCGTCATATAATGAAAAGGGCAATGGAAATTTTAGAGTTTACGGTGTTCTGAAATATTATTTTGAATTTGTAAAACACTCAAAATATACAGAGTATACAATAAGGTGGAATATACATGCGAGCGCCAAATGATTTATTTTGGTGAGATTACCCACTAAAAACATCACCTGTTAAGCAGTTTTTCCCCCATTTATTTCAGATACTGTAAAAAGCTTTATTTTAGCTGGAATTAAATTTTGCTGAAAAGACTGTTTTGTATGTTTTGTATTTTCACTGATTTTTGACGAGTTGAATGTAAAATATAGGAAAAAAGGTATATCTGCTGGAATTTATTTTCACTGAATCATTCCTTTAGCGAAAATAGCGAAAATGAATTCCAATTGAAAATTAAAGTATTTTACAGTATCTGCAGAGAGTTTAAACAGGCAGGACACCTACATAAGCACATGCACCCCCAGTAGAGCATGTATGATACAGTTGAAGAGTATGAAAATAATACAAAGTAAAGACAAGAGTTTGCACATGCTACAAGATCCAAAACAAAAATATTTACATAAGGCTTAAAAATCAATTAAAAACGCTTGAACTACAGTGAAAGGCAGAAAGCTGTACCTTGAATTATAAACATATTCAACATAATTTCAGCATTTCAATCAAATTTAACAGAAATTGGCTAAAGAGCTCAACATTGCTTACATGCTTCCTGATTGGATAATGTTGAACTAATGTTACAATACCATTTCTAGATTGGTCAATTTGAATTCTAACAGTCGTTTTAATTTATAAATATTTATATGTATGGATGGAACATGTATAAAGACCCCAGACTTTTGCAGTTCACTGTATTATTGGAAACACTGTAGATAAAGTAACACAATTACTACACTATTACAAAATATATTAAAACAGAAAGTGTTAATCGTCGAACATATATGTATACTTGAATTTCACTGGATTAAGGTATCGTCTTTGCTCTTTTAGTAATGCATGCGCTCACTTAAATTACAAAGCTATTTTTAAGGTCAAAAAGAATATATTCATGTTATATTATATAACAAACAAGGTTCTTTGTTTTATATGCATATCTCAGAGCAAATATGATAATAAATAATTTCACAGAGAGTGAATAGAAATTTTACACCCCAAGAATTGTTGAGGTTTGGGTTCTTTAGTTACCAGGTTACCATGTGCACATCATTAATTTTCTTGCTAACAAAAAGAGGTTACCGGGTACTCTACTTCCTGTTATTACTATAAACATTTTAGTATTCCACTTTCAGTTTTGTACCTAACATTGATTTTAGGTCTCCAGGCTATCTTCGAAAGTTTACAAAATGTTTGTGAAATACAATTTTTTTTTTCCCTTTTCACACACACGAAAACTGAACAATTGAACTTATAAATTCTTGGTATTTACAGGTATGTTATAAGACATCTCTACAAAATCGATTAAACTTTTGAAAATCTGCAGTAAACAGGTTTATGAATGATGGTTTACAACCTTCTTCACCCACAATTGTGCAAGATCAGCAACATAGTGACAAGATAACTCAAAACTCCCATATTACATAATCATTCAAAGTTGAGGGGTCGTCATCTGCGCACACGAAGGAATCGAGTCCCAGGCAACGCTAACACAATAAAGGCTTGTTTGTAAACAACGACTCACTATAGCCATTTGCCACATGTGCAGGTGATGACTCCCCCACTTTAACATTAAATAGATTTCAAGAAATCTAAGTTCACACTGAAAACATTTAGATCATGCATTTTTTTTTTACCTTTCCTAAATTAAGACAGGTATACAAGGGAAGGTATGCAACTTAGGAGATGAAGCTCTCGTTTGAAAGTGCACACACAGCACAATAACAAAAATATTAAAACAAATATTAAACTGCATGGGCTGTTCAATTGACATGTGCATAGAAGTGTTTTGAAATATCTTCATCGTATATCGCCATGTATGGATATCTAAAGTTTCATACCCTTTTTGCTTGGGAATACTGTGAAATACTTTATTTTCGCTGGAATTAATTTTCGCTGAAAAGGCTTTTTGGGCGTTTTGTGTGGAATTTATTTTCACCGATTTGTGATGAGTTTAATGTGAAATATAGGAAAAAAAGTATATTCGCTGGATTTTATTTTCATGGAAACATCCCTTCAGCAAAAATAGCGAAAATAAATTCCAAGCGAAAATAAAGTATTCTACAGTATATTGTTTACTGTAGCATATTGTACCCAGGCCACTGAAATGACTAGTGTTTAGAATTGCTAAATCAGCAGACCACCATAAGAACAAGAAATGATTGTTGAAAACATAGGTATTCATACAAGTTACTGATAATGTATCAATTCTAGAATATAATGTATAATATTGTGAACTATACTTATTCAGGAGTCTCGACTGATGCACAAGCCATATGGTTATAACACCATTGTTGAAGATCACAAAATAAGAATATGTCATAAACATGCAAGAATAACTCCGTATAAAAAGAGCATGAGCATCAAATTTTGAAATGTACAATAAAATATTCTCATTTTTGTTGATACAAGACTTGAGAAGTATGAAAAACTGAAATCACATAGCAAATTTAAATCGTAGCATCACTGCACCCAGAAATTACTAGATGTTGGAGGTAGCAAAATGAATGTGATGATGTAAACACCAACAAATCTGCAGCTTCACAGACTTGTGTGGGTGGTGTTAATTTCAAAATTTCCTATTTGTAGGCCCATCCAAAGCCATTTTTCAGTGCAGTCAATGTTTCTTGCTGAAAACGCATTGATTCCCGGTAGTCACTCAGTGATCAATTCAAAGCAAAACGATAGTAAAATATATCACAAAGTTGATGCTCATGTCATTTTAAGCGAATTACAACACTGGAATTCTGATTTTAATAAATTAAATTTAATAAGTATAAAAATAAGTAAATAAGTAAAAAAAAACAATGTAAAAAAAAAGAAAAAAAATGACACTTTTGTAGTCCTATACCAGTACCAATGCAAATGTTAGTATTTGGAAAGAACTGGTCCAATACATTAGATGTTATACGTGACATACAAGAGGATCAGGTTTGTTAGGGTTAAGATTAAATCGTCTCACCTTGATACATTATATAGGGACTACCATAAGGATCCTGATAAGAACTGTAATGCTCTAGAGTGGTAATAACGGTAGACATGTTTCTCAGTGTTAAACACGCATTCTCTATTACTTGTTAATGTCAAATTGAGGGGGGGAGGGGTACACCTGCATGCAATAGGAATGTACTCTGTACACAACAGAGAGGAGAACGTGCAAGGAAGGAATGGGAATGTTGCATAGGTAGGTACTTAATCTTTTCACCACCAGTTCCCTCTTTTCATCACAAATTCACAAAATAGTCCTGTTTATATTCTGCACTTTTCTTCAGAAGATTAGAACAAAAACAATCGAATTTTTGAGTAAAAACTGGAAATAGACTCAAATTTTGTCTGTTGGCTCCAAAATTAAGGTTCATTTCAAGAAATATTGAAGAATAAAAAGAAAAAAGTGCAGAACAATTTGGGCAAGAAAGTCTGGTGGTGAAAAGACTCATTAGCGTTCATTAATTCATGCTAGTTCAAGCAATAGTTCCATTTTTTGAATGTTTCTCCAAGACTTCTATAATAACCTGATTTTTAACCTCCGGAGTCGCACACCCTTTTTCACATACCATATACACATTCCATTTAGTAGCACCTTCTAGTAATAATCATGTAGTGGGAAACCATGTGAAGCAACCACCAAAGTCAATATATCACACTATAAGGAGCACACATCCAATATAAGCATGTACTGTTAAACCATTATTTTCACTGACAATTAAATTTCACTATTTTGATGTTTTGAGCATATTCAAAATGGTCAAGGAAACAATGAGTTTCATTATGAGTTATTTTACATGTTCACGCAGATTTAATATAGAGGATTAACCTTATCAGTGAATAATTAATGAATTTACAGTATAAACCTAAAATTGCATGAATTTTATGCTGAATAATATGACTTATTCTGACCAGCTGGCTATGACATAGCTCTACCATTTACAATAGGACATGCAATAGAATATCCAATTCAGGCAGTATGGATGACTGACTTAAGACGAATACCCTAAACAAACATGAACTCAACAATGTTTTAATAGTAGAACACAAACACTGAAACACACACAAATTACAAAATAAAACAAAACAAAACAAAATGCACATAATTAATTGGACTATTTATATACTACAACTGTTTATTTTGTCACATGAATACTATACATATATGAACACCAATATTTAGTGTACAAAATGCATCCTTTTACCAACCCAAACTTGTGATTAGCATTTTTTCAAATGATCTATACCATTGTATATTAATTCACATCAAAAATAAAACAAATACCTGTTCCAAGGGAAATTTTAGCGAAGATAATAAAAGATGAAGAAAAAAAAAATTTAACATTTCATATAATACTGTACTTAATGATGGTTGGTTTTTAGGAATCAAGCTAGACGCCGAATAGATGTAGGTCATGGAAAACAAACTTTGACCTCAATATTGACCTAGGCTGTCAATCTAATAGACACGTTTTAGGAGTACATGATATTCCGTTTCATTTCATCAGATTTTAATGATTCCAACACAAACTACAAAGATGACAAAAATGTGGAGTATGTTTAAGATTTATTGATGTACTGCGGAATGATCATGTGATCCGACCCACAAATGGTTAACAATATTTAAATCTGATATGCAAATTAAGGTTTCTAAAGATTAACAATGAATTCAAAATAAAACGAGCACACCTGATTAATCTTAGCTTACTCATACGAAACTGTGCAGAGCAATAAAGCACAAGTCTTGCTCAGACACTTTGAAAGAATTGAAATAGAAAAAAAATCCTGAAATTTCAGTCTTGAATATAAAAAATAGGGGTGAGATGGGCACTAAATGGAATGTGTATGACAGATACAAGAATATTTTTAATTGAAAATTATTCTGTATTAGGACTAATATTTTTCCTTTCCAAGTCAAAATCAGACATCTATTTTAGTACTTTGGAGAAAGCAGTGACAAAGAATGAAACATTCCACACAAGAATACACAGGTACATTTGGACCTACCGTTTTGCAGGGTGTGGAGGGGGTCTTCAGCTGGGTCCATAAGTCCTCGTTCCTGTAGAACTTTACTGTGAGCAAAGAAAGAACATGTTCAATTTGAAATTAGCTAGAATACATTTTACAATGGGTGGGTGGAAGCAATGAATTGAATTACTCTTGCCTGTAAGTTGTAGATTTTTAATTTAAATATTGGTCTTCCAAACCTCTCCCTTTGAATGGAATAGTCCATTCTTGCTGAATGGACCAAACCAAGTCAAAAACATAGGGTTGGAAGCTTAAATATGATGTTTTTGTTTTTTTAACGTGCAAATAGTTGGTGATTGCGGTGATAACAGGGTGCCTGAAAGTAGTAGCAAAAAGTTAAGATAATGAAAGCTGATGTTGCTATGGCGAGCCAAAACAGAGAATGGAGAAGAGAGAGTTTGAAACTTGAAGCAAAAGAACAACTGGACTTACAGGCAAGAGTCTACCAGTTGAGATCCACTAATTTTGCTGTCGGTATCACTTTCATCGGCTAAGTGACTTTCATTCTGGGCAGAGTGACGCCATTGAAAAGATTCGTCAGTCGAACTGCAGGACAGCCGAGATATAACACAGATACAGAAGGGGGAAAACAAAACAAAGAAATGAAATTAAGCTCCAGGCAGCACCAACAACTTTCTCAAGATGAAATCTCAAAACATGGACAGATACACCAATTTGGAAGCCTCATACAAGAAAACCAACTAAAATTAAAACGCATGCATATCTTTTCACAATTTGAAACCATGGTTGGAAGAAAATCTATCAAATTTACGACATTACAAACACAGAGTCAACACAACACAAAAAACTTAGGCTGCAGTCACATTCTATAGCAAATGAACGATAATTTCTTCATCACCAGAATAACATTCATTTAACATCATTCATATAAACATGTACGTTGCACTACATAAATGTATTCAGTTACTCCAAACTGGACGACATGTTACGTCTGAAACCAACCATAATACCCTTACCTAATACTGCTCATACTAGCAGTCTCAGACCCTAATTTGACCTTCTCCAGTTGGTTGGCTACACTCTGCCTTTCAGCCTCAAGTTCAAGAGTTAACTTCTCAAATTGTGCCTCCTGTAGTATTCAGAAACTAGTTTTGTCAAATTTTTGGAAGTTCAAATTGTTCCAAAAATAGTGCTGGAAAGGAACTCAACTTCAAGTTCATTTCAACTGGTTATGCAAATTGTACGTTCAAAATGTTGATAGTTCAGTTTCAGTAAATGCAGTTGTGTAAAATAACTAATAAATACAACCATTTATTTCAAAATGTGAAGTTTGGACTCCATTAATACAGTTTTGGAACAAGCTGCAAAATAATTTATTTCAAAAAACAATTTGCATATCCTCGTTCCAGAACTATTTTTTTACAGCATGATTAACCAAATTTAATATAAAATTAACATTACTTTATATAGCTTTCAATTTTGTGAGTAAGCTTAGACAGAATGCAAAATAAGTGGATACACAACAAATGCACGACTCTAAATGCATCCATATACAAGCATGTTAAGAAATAAAAATGAAAAAAACATAAATGTTAAATCAAATCTATGTTTATTAGTACATGCCAGCATACTTTCATAGTTAGCATGGTTATACAGCTGTTGTAACAACAGTAGCTGTTAATTTGTCATCACAGTCACAATACATAGACACAACAAAACAAATAACCCAAACGGACAGCTCAAGATCTGTGGCCAAGTCTTCTCAGAAGACTGTACTGACAGTTGTGTTTCAGTTACTGGTATATTTTCCAAAACAACCCTTTCAGCATGTTCGGAATCAGTTACTGTAAACTAATTTAATTTCGGAATAAAAGACATTTTTTATAACATGTAGTGAAAATTCCTCTTGGCAATTTTCAATTTTTTTTCTTCTAATCAGTAGCCCACATCACCAAAATGAAAAAATTTACAACCTAATAACCCCATTATTGGCTAGATAAAGAAAGAAATATGGTAATTTCGAGGACAGCTGCCTAGATATTATTTATGGCATGGACATGTACCATATATGAAGATTAATTGTACAAAATAAATTATGCGTCTGGACGATTCGAATTGAATTTTACACTAACAGTTTTTCTCTGAATATAGCCTTGAATGAATAAGCTAAAAAATTTTTTTTAGAAATTACCTATGTACAGAATTAATTAACCACCATGAATCCCCCACCCCAAACCATAACCAACACCCCCACCCCAACCTACTGATCTCCCTCTCCCTGCCACCCTAAATAAATGTTTGTTTAACATTTATGAAAAGTAAACATATCGCTACTTTATAAAAGAACAAAGTACAGTGGACACATGTTCGCATTGCATAAAAAAGTAGAGAATAGGAAATAATTTGATAGCTATACAAAAGTGTTAGAACTGATTTACATTAATAATATATCCAACAGAAACGAACATAATTAACATAATGCGCAATAAACAGGCAGATCTCAACTTTAACATGGCAGAAGAAAAGATAGTAGCAGCCATATAACTGTATGCAGGCGATCTATTAAAGTAACGTGAGAAAAACGTGCAAAGGACAATTTTCAGTTGACCATAATGCCAATCATGGAAACATTATTTTGTTCTTTATATAATAATATTTCACAACTTTATCCAGAATAAGATTTCCAGTGTTTTCTCAAGGATGACGGTTGGAACTGTATTTTTCGGTTTGAAATGCGGTCTGGACGGATCAAGTAGTGGGGAATGCTGGATGGGATAAAACCATGGTCAACTGGAAAAAAGTCTACGAAGTCAAGTCATGCTATGTTAGGTAATAGGGGATAGCATACTGACCACGTTGTACGGATGTCTCCTATGTATGCTATAGACAAGTAGAGGTTGAGATTGTTGAGTAGTACGCGTTTCAGTCCGCGTCTCAGTGCGGACAAAATGTTTTTCGGTACTCATTTTTTCAGAAGTCATAGCTAAGTAAAAGCAAAGATACTAAACATGAGCCAGAGTATTGGCACAGAGAAAGAAAGCAAGGAAATGAAATGGAAACTGAGGATACTGAATAACACGTCATAGAAAAGAAATGATAAAATAAACGAACGTACTTGTTCTTTTACCGACTGTAAAATACTAGCAGCACTTTCTGGTTCTGAGTTGATATCGTGACTAGCTTGCCGAAAAGCATACATTAATGTGCGATCATCGCCATTATGCCCCTCTGGCATTATAGTAGTATGCTTTTATTGGTGACCTGCACCCCACTGAGAAATATACCGCAACACACAATCTGAAATAGAAATAGATACAGGAATGTAAGAATTGCCAGTACAGGATACAAAACGATAATTCTTGTTGACACAACACGACTGTTTTTCACCAATTTTTTAATATTTACATGTACCAGACAGACAATACTGATCCAAGTGAGAACAATTGTACACAATCATAGCTGACTCAATTTCCGGGCAAGCTAAAGTTATGTGTCGGAAATGATTATGATACATGACATGCCAAATCATAACATGAATTTGTATTTTTAGTTCCCATACATTAATGATTAACTACATTTATATTTGATGTAATAGCCACAATTCATATGCACAGTAGTAAGTAAATAAACAGTGAAGCAAAAAGATACAGGTACACATGATCACCATGGACAAGTCCAGTACCCACATAAAAAAAGTACACACATCGGTCTGCTACACAGTTCACACAAACAAACAGAACACGATACAAACACTCCAACTTAACCCTGGTCAGAAATTAAACCTGTATAACTTTCACAATAATTTTTTTTTTTTTTGGATCAAGGCCAAATGATGCACCAAAACTGTTTGACGAGAAAATTATGGTATCAGAAAAGGTTAATATCAGAATCAAAATCAACAAACGTATATTGACAGAATCATACACAAGATATTATCATTTGAAGCAAGTAAATTCAATTATCATGTACAGCGATAGAGTATAGAATATGATGTTTGTTATCTTTCTGTATCATATGGTTAAAATGTAATACCCATACAGCATGGAAAGCTACATACCTAGTCGCGCGCTTCATTTTCTGGAAAGTCAAGCATATCTAATGAAACTACAATTCCCACACGAAAACACATAAAATTAAATATTTGCGGAGACCATGAACACACATCCTGCATAAAGAAGCTCCTTGGGTTCAAATGAGGTTATATTGACAAACAACATGTTTACATTGTAACCAAAACAAAGCAAACAAAAACACAAGCTAAACTGAAAAAGAGCTCAATTTATAAAATATCAGGCTACTAATGGGCCTGTATCTATCGATCAAGTAAATTCCTGAATTACTAAGTTGCGATGATAAATCAAACACTGAAAAGCTGAAGGGACCCCCACCCCTAACACACACAGACTTGCATGAAATCCACGCTATGAAACACTATCAAGAGTCTACACAATGTAAAACTATGACAGAATAGCATAATTACATTGTAATAATTAATGCACCCGCTAATAGGCCATACAAATTAATAAACAAACTTACATGAATAATGGAGGCAACAAGTGAACGAAGCTAGTTCAGCTGTTTAGCTGTCTGTGTGTCAGCCAAACACAGCATCAAATTCCAAGTATATGAGTCATACGACCATGCATGCCTGTCAGCTCAGTCAGTCAACTAACATGGCGGCAGTCTTCACTATTGTTTACTCTAACACAACAACGGTACCTGCGCAGGTAACCTATGAACTTGCATAGAACTGATCATATCTTACACATTGAGATGCGTACAGTAGTCCAAACTACTTTGTGAATAATTTTTTATAAATGTTACCTATATAATAGAATCAGCACTTGATTAGGATCAGCATAGGTCCACACCTGTGGTTAATAATGGCAGACAGGGTATTCCATTTCTATACAGGGGTGACAAGTTGTAATTAATGGGGCTAAATAGTTTTAGGAGAGCATATAATATACAATGCCCATATATATTAATGGCTTCCACGAACAGGAGATGTATAAACATGGCTGATCTGCACTCTGTGGGTGTAGTTACAAAGAAGTTTTAGACAAAATTCAAGAAATGCTACTCAGAGAAAAAGATATTGATTCAATACTATGGAAACTTTCAATTGTGTTGTAACCATTATAATTTTAACTAAATTTATTACGGAATTAGGTTACGGCATCATAACCATTTAATTTCAAAAAACTGTAAAAAAAAAAAAAAAAAAAATTGCAAATCTTCCAGAAGCACATTTCAAATTTCACATATCGTACTTTACACGTGTTATATACCGGAGTAAACAGCTTCAATTTCAGAAAAGACCAATTTTTGTAATACAGTGACAACTACATGTAAGAAATTTTGTAGCAGTGTGAGGGGGGTCCCCCAACAAGACAGTGTCGCGAAATTTTGTCCTTGCGAGTTCCATAAAATCCTTAAACCAGAAAAATTTCTAGAAGTGAAAACAGTTTTACAGTACATGTCATACGAGACCCATATCAAATGCAAGGAACAACTGTTGCACTTTACAGCAGAATACACGTACAGCATTGACGTATGTTTTGTTTTCCAATTTGTCGCTGTTGCACAGTAAAGGTGATTCTAATAATAGTCAACCTGTCAGGCATGTAATATGGAACTTCCTGTTTCCTATATTACATCCCAAAACAATGTACATGAATGAAAGAATACCTTTAGGTGCAAGGCCATGACCTTTACTATTACCTTACCTAATGGAATGTATGTAGGTGGGTGAATGACTTCCAACAACGCGTTCAAAATAAATCAAACACTAGTATACTACTTACATAATTCCACTATAAATCAATATATCCATATCTAATATTTACTCAATCATAATATTAATAAATCAATGTGCATATATTATTATACTTTAGATTTTACAAAAACTGATTTTTGTTTTCAATTCTATTTGAGGATGTACCTCTAAGTACAGTAAATATTGTTACATATAGTGATTATTTTTTTTTTCAAAGTACCGGTACTTTTCAATTTAAATACTAGGTTTGCTTTATTGGAAACGCATGTAAACCAAAAATTGCAATTTATAGTACGAGGGATAATTAAAGGCGGTAGTCGTTGCTCGCGCATCTTCGAATTTCATGTAAACGATTTATTTTACACGCGTTATGTTTGTTGCTACAAGTCCCATATCGAACAGGACGTGACAAGACAACCACCATCCTAAATGGTTTATTTTAACCATAGACAGAGTCGCTCATTTACACAAGAGCATACATAAAACACAGTGACAAACATTAACGATATCAGTGAGTATTCCTACCATGAATACATAATTATCCTTCACATTATAGAATTATGAACCTCACTATAATGGTATCTATGACAATTTCAATTGTTGATGACATAACATAAGAATGTCTGGCACCCCGCATGCAGACATACCATTAGAATTCCTGTACTGACTTTAGTCCTTCACAGAGTACTTAGTTAACAAGATATATCATCTGTTCTCTGCGACTTATGAGCTCCAGATTCTGCATTGTACTAAACCTAAATCATGGATCAGTATATATTTGACAGTTGAGTCCCACCTGATGGTGAAACGTCAAAACTTTGCATTGTCCGGAGAATCATGTAGTGGTTTTCCTTACCTAATAGAGTACAACACAGCAGGCAAGACAGTGAACACGTACACAATATACCAACTTATCCTAGTTTAAAAGTCAGGAAATGACACATGTCATCCTCCTCCTACATTCTTCCCAATCTATGACATCATAGTAAATAAGTGGGTGTTAACAATACTATAACAGGAGTGCCCCCTTCTAAGTTAATGATTAACACAATGGCCACAATACACAGCCATCACAATATGTGCAGTCGTACAAATTACCGTAGTAGTACACTGGAAAATATCCTAACTCCTATCTCATAACCAATTAGTCCATTCCTAAAAAGTTTGTCCAAGAGAAAATTGAAAAATCATGTTTGTTTTTTTGTTTGGTTTAAGATTATTCACAACATTACAAAAAAATATATATTCAATGTTTAACATTTATCAAATAATGCTTTTGAATAAATGAATTAAAGTTTGATTTTGATCAACAACAAAATTCTCTGAAACTGAAAATTAACATTTCCCCCATTTTACCTTATGTGAGGCACTTCATTGGTACACAAAATTGTCTGAGTAGAAGATTTCAAACTAATTTGTGTAATAATGACAAGTAAAAACTTGTAGGCCTTATTTACACCTTATACACATATTCAAATACAAACTGTATTCAAGATAACCATTTACATGTGTACATGTGTACAACTTTAAAAACATAACTTCATGCTCCTCGGTTGTCAAATAAAGTGTTTTCGCAATGAACTCCAATCTAATACATACCAGTAATCATGAAGGGTGACTTGAATACTCTAATCTGGTCGTAATCTTTTTTACTATACCTTGAGCCATGGTTTAATACAGTATTAGTATCTAGCTTGACAAAATTAAATTAATTTTAACTAATTTAAAACAGCACATGACAAGTCATTGAAAATGACACAGTCCCCGTTAAATTTTTGAAAGTTCTCTTTGAGCTAGTCATATTAAAGCGGAGGGGTTGTCGCGAGCATGTCCTTGAAACTTGAGTTCCAAGTGGCGTATACAACAGATTGTTTATTTACATCAAAACACGTGTTCCGTGTAGTACTAATATGGCCAAAAATAAAAACAGCAGTTATTCGGCCATCTTTGATCTGATTATGAAACACACTGATATGTCCGATGTATGTGCCAAATACGAATGAAAATGGTACATAAATTGTGGAAATATAGTAGTAAGGCCAAAAAGTCAGATGGCTGTCAATCGGCCATCCTTGACCAGATTTTGAAACAAATCGTCATGGACATGCATCCTAACATGTATAAAGTACATGTATGTGCCAAATTTGAATGAAAACTGACAGAGCATGTCCAAGATACTGCATAAAAAAACAAAACAAGATGCCTACCAGTCTACTATCTTTGATCCAATTGCGAAATAAATCGTCATGGACATGTATCCTAACATGTATAATCTATGTACCAAGTTTGAATGACAACTGACAAAGCATGTCCAAAATACAACATTTTCAAAAAACAAGATGGCTGCCAGTCGGCCATTTTTAATTGAATCGCTAAACCACTGCATGTGCATATGTACCACATAAAGTACTAGCACATGCAAAGAATGAACGGAAGTGGTCCAAGGGATTCTGAGATATGACTCTGGACGGACGCACGGACAGAGACCGAATTATAAGTCCCCGTTTTCGGACTTCGT